GGCTCACTGCAACCTCCGCCTCCCGTGTTCAAGCAACTCTCCTGCCTCAGCTTCCTGAGTAGCTGAGACCAGAGGCACGCACCACCACACCCAGCTAATTTTTGTATTTTTAGTAGAGATGGGGGGGTTTGTTTCACCATGTTGGCCAGGCTGGTCTCGAACTCCTGACCTCAGGTGTTCCACTCACCTCAGCCTCCCAAAGTGCTGGGATTACAGGCATGAGCCACTGCACCCAGCCCCGGCTAATTTTTTTTGAAAAGTTTTTTGTAGAGACCGGGTTTAGCCATGTTGCCGAGACTGGTCTTAAATTCCCAGGCTCAAGTGATCCACTTGATTTGAACTCCTGGGCTCAGAACTGGTCCCAGACTGGTCTCGAACTCTTGGGTTAAAGCGATCCACTCAACTCAGCCTCTCAAAGTGCTGGGATTACAGGTGTGAGCTGGTGTGCCCAGCCTCAGTCTCATTTCACCTGAATACAATAATGTATGGTTTTGGTGTATTTTTTTCCCACCTCCGCCTCCCGGGTTTGAGCAATTCTCCTGCCTCAGCCTCCAGAGTAGCTGGGACTACAGCACACGCCACCACGCCTGATTAATTTTTTGTATTTTTGTAGAGACGGGGTTTCACCATGTTGCCCAGGCTAGTCTTGAACTCCTGAGCTCAGGCAATCCACCTGCCTCCGCCTCCATAAGTGCTGGGATTACAGGCGTGAGCCACCACACCAGGCCGCCATTGTCATTTTTTAATGCAGCACAGAAGCCCATCAAGTGGTAGTCACATAATTTCCTAATTTAATTTTGAAAAAAATTTTAGATGAATTCCAATTTTCTATGTGCTTAGGTTTCTTTTATAAGTTTGAATAAATGTATAAATAATTTCAGGGTTATTTTATGGGTTCTTGGTATGTCATGCAGATAAATTGTTGTAAATGGAATAAGATACAGAGGAATGCAAAAGAAGCTAAGAAGCAAGCGTGACAGCATCCTCTTACTTTATTGCGTTCTCTGCAGTGGTCAGGGTATAGGGCAATGAATTCAGATCAGAATCATAGACTTTATTGTATCTCTTGTTAGCCAAAATATTTAAGTTATCTGACATTTACTAGGTCTATTAAATCACCCAAGGGAAGAACTTTTTTTTGTATGCATAGGTAGTAAAGGGCTTTTGCAAAAAATCCAATATGTTGATATTTTAGACATCATAAAATAATATACACCGTGTACATTTACTTTAAAAATTAACTTGTGAAAAGCATTTCTCATTTTGTTCACTTAATTTTTAAAGAGAGCCAGGCTAGTTTATCTTAATATATGGGTTCTCTGCTGGGAGAACCAGATTAACCATCATTCTAGTCAAGGCTTAAGTTTCCATTCTGTAAAATAATGACTTGCAACTTGGTGGAATTTGATATTCTTTCCAAAACTAAGAAGTTCGGAGTTATTTCTACTATCTGTTTCTTTAACAGTGAGACTGAGCATATCGGCCTACTTGCACTGCACATGGGCCAAAATGGGCCTGTCATAGGAGAAACTCTACAGAAAGGAAAGGAGAAAGGGTTCCTGCAGAAGGAAGAGGAGGGCAGATTTGTTCTCAGAGGTCAGTTATATTAAGGCAAGGATGGCAGATGTCTCATCATGGATTTATTTGGCGGGTGTGGCTGCTGAGTACTGTATTGGGAGGAATCTTAAGTACATGGTAGATTATTAATGGTGCCTTCTTTGGGTGTGGGCCGCATCGAAGGCTTGAGGGTGATTCAGAGTAATGACACAGTCCATCTGTATTTTAGGATCTGCCACACAAGGAGGTGGGAATATGCTTGGCTTCCATTTGATGTGTCCCACACTTCAGATTTGTATATCGGACTTTTTAACTCCTCCATTGTACTCTTCCCCCCTTCTCACTACTGCCCTTAACTAAGTCTTAATAAACAAACACACAAACCGGTAATTCCTCATCCCTCTTTATCCCCAGCCCCTGGCAACCCCCATTCTATTTTCTGTCTCTGAATTTAACTTCTCAAGGTATTTTCTTTTTCTTTCTTTCTTTTTTTTTTTTTTTTTTTTAATTGTGACAGAGTCTCACTCTGTTTCCCGGGCTGGAGTGCAGTGGTGCGATCTTGGCTCACTACGACTTCTTGTTCCCGGTTCTAAGTGAATCTCCTGCCTCAGCCTCCCAAGTTGCCGGATCAGGGCTGCCCGCTACTATGCCTGGCTAGTTTTTGTTTTTTTTTTGTTTTGTTTTGTTTTGTTTTTTGAGACAGAGTCTTGCTCTGTCACCCAGGCTGGAGTGCAATGGCGTGATCTTGGCTCACTGCAACCTCTGCCTCCTGGGTTGAAGTGATTCTCCCTGGCTTGGCCTCCCGAGTAGCTGGGATTACAGACATGAGCCTGTAATAGACATGCCTGGCTAATTTTGTATTTTTAGTAGAGACAGGGCTTGGCCATGTTGGTCAGGCTGGCCTTGAACTCCTGACCTGAGGTGATCCATCTGCCTCGGCCTCCCAAAGTGCTGGGATTACAGGTGTGAGCCACCGCACCCGGTCAATTTTTGTATTTTAGTAGAGACATGGTTTCGCCATGTTGGCCTGGCTGGTTTCAAACTTCTGACCTCAGGTGATCCACCCGCCTTGGCCTCCCAAGTGCTGGGATTACAGGTGTGAGCCACCATGCCTGGCCACAAGGTATTTTCATGTAAGTGGAATCATACAATATTTATCCTTTTGTATCTGGCTTATTTCACTTAGCATAATATTTTCAAGTTCGTTCATGTTGTAGAATGTATCATAGTTTCATTCCTTTTTAAAGCTGAATAACGTCCCGTTGTATGTGTATATACTATACTACACATTTTGTTTATCCATTCTTCTATTGGTTGACATGGGTTATTTCCACATTTTGATTGTTGTGAAAAATGCTGCTTTGAACATTGGTGTGCAAACATCTGTTTGAGCCCCTGCATTAATTCTTTTGCATATATAACCAGAAGTGAAATTGCTGGATCATATGGTAATTCTAAGTTTAATATTTTGAGGACATGCCATACTGCCTTTCACAATGGTTACATCCTTGTGACATTAGCAATGCACAGGGTTCTAATTTCTCTGCATTCTTGTCAACACTTGTCATTTTCTGTGTGTGTGTTTAATAATAGCAGTTCTAATTGGTGTGAAGTGGTATCTCATTGTGGTTTTGAATTTCTTTTATTATTAGTGATACTGAGCATCTTTGCATTGTGCTTGTTGACCAGCCATCTTTTCATCTTTGGAGAAATGCCTATTCAAGTCATTTGCCCATTTTTGCATTGGTTTTGTTGTTGTTATTGAGTTGTATGAGTTCTTTTTGTATTCTGGATATTAATCCTCTATCAGATATGTGATTTGCAAATATTTTTCCCATTTTTTGGGGGTTGCTTTTGATGAATAAAAGTTTTAAGTTTCAATGCAAATCATTTATTTTTTCTTTTGTCTCCTTTGATCTTGGTGTCATGTCCAAGAGTTTGTTGCCAAATCCAGTGTCATGAAGATTTTCTCTTATTTTTCACCTGAGAGTTTTATAGTTTAAGCTCTTATGTTTAAGTTTTCATTTCATTTAGAGTTAATTTTTGCATATCATGTAAGGAAAGAGTCCTTCATTCTTTTGCTTATGGATATCCAGTTTCCCTAGTGTTTTTTTCTGTCGCCCAGGCTGGAGTGCAGTGGCATGATCTCGGCTCACTGCAAGCTCCGCCTCCTGGGTTCACGCCATTCTCCTGCCTCAGCCTCCTGAGTAGCTGGGACTACAGGCGCCCGCCACCACGCCTGGCTGGTTTTTTTTGTATTTTTAGTAGAGACGGGGTTTCACTGTGTTAGCCAAGATGGTCTCAATCTCCTGACCCTCGTGATCCGCCCGCCTTGGCCTCCCCAAAGTGCTGAGATTACAGGTGTGAGCTACCACGCCCGGCCCCTAGCATTGTTTATTGAAAGATTTTCTTTCCTCATTGAGTGGTCTGGTCACCCTTGTTGACAATCAGTTGGCCGTATGTGCAAGGGTTTTATTTCTAGGCTTTTATTTTGTTTCATTGGTCTGTATGTCTGTCTTTTTGCCAGTACCACACTGTTTTGATTATTGTCGTTTTGTAGTAAACTTTGGAATCAGTACCTGGGAGTTCTCCAACTTTGTTCTTGTTTTCAAGCATGTTTTGGCGATTTGGGATGTGAATTTTAGGATGGGTTTTTCTATTTCTGCAAAAAAAGTTGTTGGGATTTTGATACAGGGATTACATTGTATTTGTAAATTCCTTTGGGTGGATTTTTTTTGTGTTTAAGGAAAAGATTCAGTTGTTTAGAAGTCTCTTAAGCTCTCTTTATTTTACTTTTTGGTCTTTCCAGCATATGTCTCTTTCATATTTTCACTTATACAGAATAGTGGGTATATATGTGATACATGCAATGTAGATACATACAAGTTTAAGAGTTATTTTAAAACGAATACCATGTAACCGCTAGCAGGTGAAGAAATAGTTGGTTGAAGTTTTAAAACCACTGAGGTAGAGCATGAAAAGTCCACCCACGTCAGAAAACAGAACCATATTATTCAGGATGCCCTAGGAAGAATACTGGTTTGAATATGTGTCATTATTTAAGGGTTACCCGAGTTCTGGGAGCCTGGGAGAACAGCCTAGTGGTGTAGCAAGAGTAGGGAATCTTGAGTACCTATCTGAAAACACTTTGCTCCGGAAACCACTTAGTTAGAGTCTAAATTTGTAGTCTGTTTTGTCCAGTATTGGGAGGGAATGAGATTAAGAATCAAGTAGCTAGAAAATACTTGCCTGTTACAGCTGATTAGTATTGTAATAAGACTTGAGGACTGGGAGCGGTGGTTCATGCCTGTAATCCCGGCACATCAGGAGGCTGAGGCGTGTAAATCAGTTGAGCTCAGGAGTTTGAGACCAGCCTGGGCAACGTGGTGAGGCCCCATCGCTACAAAAAATACAAAAAATTAGTCTGCATGGTTGTACATGCCTGTAGTCCCAGGTACTCAGGAGGCTGAAGTGGGAGGATCATCTGAGCCCAGGAGGCGGAGGTTGCAGTAAGCCAGGATCATGTCACTGCACTCCGGCCTTGGCAACAGAGCAAGACCCTGTCTCAAGCAAGCAGACAAACACATAAAAAAGACTTGAAGCCATTTATTTATTCATTTGTTTATTTTTGAGACAGAGTCTCATTCTGTCGCCCAGGCTGGAGTGCAGTGGTGTGATCTTGGCCCACTACAACCTCTGCCTCCCAGGTTCAAGCCATTCTCGTGTCTCAGCTTCCCCAGTAGCTGGGACTATAGGCGCACACCACCACATTTGGCTAATTTTTGTACTTTTAGTAGAGATAGGGTTTCACCATTTTGGCCAGGCTGGTCTCGAACTCCTGACCTCAGATGATCTGCCTGACTTGGCCTCCAACCGCCCGGGTTGGCCTCCCAAAATGCTGGGATTACAGGTGTGAGGCACCATGCCTGGCCCTATCAGATACATTTAAATAGTGCCTGGTAACATAGACAAGAAAGTTAATTTGCCTTTCTGACTTAGGAAGATTTTAGGAGAATCTGGCATTTGAGCCAAGACTCTTTTTTAAATTATTTTTCATTTTTTTACTCGGAATCTTGCTTTGTC